TATATTTTAAGTGTGGGAGAGCCATGCTTCGGCACGAATGGGCCGGCTCGACCGGAGTGATACCACGGCCTCACAGAAAACCGACGTGAAGCAACGCTTGCGTTGTGTTTCGTCGTGTGAGTGAGGTTACCGGAGGCCCAATTACCTTCCCCTTCCCCAATCTCCCCAATCCCTGAATCCCCAACGATCCTCAAACTCCTAATCCCCAAAAAGCCGGCGACGCACTTGTAACGCCTCTGGTGTTCCAGGTGTCCATGGGCGACGCCAATTGCTTACCATCAGGTGATCCGTCTGCTCGTTTACCGGCTAAGTATGCCATAAAAAAAATTCTTCTATATATTGTATTGTATACCTAAAGAATAAACATTTTTTTGGGTAAAATATACTAAGGATAACTATAAGATAAACTAAGCAAGTGACAACATAAAAATAACTAATTAATTTGAAGCAGTAGTTGCATAGATTAGAGTATTCTTAGCAAACAAACTCATCATCATTGTAATATTACAGAACTTATAGATTACGTTCAACTCACCTGGTTGGTGGATACATCTGAAGGGTTATCTTCATCATACTTTACTTTGCACATCAGCTCTAATAAGTCTCCCTGTACGGGCACAAAAGTTGCAACCACCTTGTCCAGACTGAATGTGAGATCAGTATCTTTTATAATCACCAGTCGGTCCTGTCTATATTCTACTTCACCTACAATAACATGCTCTCTAACTGGAAAACCACGCTCATCAACATCAACTTCAAAGTCCCCCCAATGTTCTCCTAGATTTTGTAGTATCCGGACAACAACTATTGATTCTTGCGCATCCTTGTAGCACAAATACACAACCTTGTCGTTTAGACCTAGGTGGATTGAGCACCCCTCCATATTGAAATAGAACATTCCATCAATAAGCACATAGCTTGCATTCTCGCTGATGTAACTTATTATTCCTAAAAATATAAAAAATACATAGTTTAGGTAATGAAAACAACACAAGATAATACCTAACACATAACACAATAATGGCTCAATTACCCCCTTATTAATCTGCTCAATACTCAAATTTCTAACCCCCAAAATGCCAGCAACGCATTTGTAATGTCCCTGGTGTTTGCTCTGTCCATGGGCGGCGCCGATTGCTTACCATCAGAGGACCCGTGTGATCGTCTACCAGTTTATCCCATAAAAAAATAAAATTATAACACGCAAGAAATTAGGAATTGTGCCTCATCACAACTTCTCAGTTTGTAAATTCTTCTACTGCTGGGCAAATACCACTTCTTGCATGTAAAAGGAATAAACATAATATAAACTTGCTTAATACTAAATTAAACTTGCTTCAGGCAGATTTTGTCATTTCTAATTATATCTAGGCTTCCACACAGCACAATATCTTTATTCAATGTCATTGGTGCCTAAATAAACTTAGAAAGTAAATATAACGTAATATACGTGCCCCATCGTAGACCACATCATCACTTACCACCAGGCGCCATAGTGGTCAAACGTCGGCCCATCAAATATATACATTAATATATACTTGAAATTGTACAACTCGACAACTTTAGAACAAAAGGTGACTTTGTTATGTTACAAAATATTATGAACTAATCCAAATTAAAAACTTACCAGTCCTTTGAAAACAATCACTGGGATTATGATCAGGCTCTGTTCTTTGCACAATATCATCATCCTCATCGAATTCTAGTTTTGTCAGCTCTTCGGCTAAATAAATTTCCATCTCCCGATCATATTCCTCAAAAGATGATTTGGCAAAAAAATAATTATAAACTGACTTTATAAGTGAGAAAACCATCTTGATTGTTTTTTCTTTTATTCTTGTATATTAAAAAACTCCAATTATATCAGTCTATTACTGAACAAATCCTTTGTCATACTCAAATTCCCATTCAGTGGCTTTTAGATACTCAAGTTCAGTTCTCAAGGCTTGAATTCGTTTTTGATGCATTTCTTTTTGAGCACTCTTCATAGACTGTTCAATACTCAGTCCAAGATCAGCATGATTCAGTGATTGGTCAAAATTTTGAATTCTGCTTTGTGCAGTACTCTGAAACAAAGATTATTGATTATTGCTGTGTCAGGATTTGTAATGTGTATGGTCTTTCATTATTGGAAGAACAGCAAGTGGACCTCCACTTGATGAGGAACTACTTTTTACTATATGGTATAAAACAAAGTCACTTTTCGCTGTCTATCGCTATTAGCTTAACAATAACACAATGGATTATGATGCTGAAGGTTTTTTCATGAATATAGTGATAAAAGAGGACGGAAAATGTTTCATATATGAAGAGTCTAAGGCACTTTTCAATGGATTAAATAGTTAGACACAGAAATAACATAACAAACAAACACACACAAACTTACGCACACCCACAGTCACTCACTCATATACACACATATACATACACATATATATTTGCCCTGTATTTCAAATTGTAATGCCATAGTCAATAAAGGTTTTAAAAATATCTTTTTATTATCTTTTGTTTGTAAACATACTATTATTGTTTATTTTGTAAATACAGCTATGGAAGTGCGGGTTCTTCTAACACAAGCACATCTTGCTTAAAACGAGTTCCCGAATACAATCACCCAATATAATAACAAATTACAATAATAAATTTTATTGCAAATAACCTATCTGTTAATTTAACATCATGGCATTTTTCATCAACTGCTTCAAATAGAAGTCACACTCAAGAAACTCTCCATTCATTCTGATTTAGTAGCCTCTGAATCCTGTCTAGAAAGGATGGATGAAAGTAGAGTAACGAAAGAAGTATACAGAGCGGATATGAATGGGGCCGTCGGTAGAGGGCCCCCTAGACGGACATATAGTGACCAGATTGGCGATATATTAAAGAAGGGCCAAATTAAAAGTACCCTTAATAACCGACGAGCATGCATGAAAAGATTGATGACTGTTATTGAAGCGAAAGAGGTATGCAAGAATCGTAGTAATTGGTGTTCCTTAGTCTCTGCCTTCCCGGAGAACCTTACGGGTAACCGGGGCTCCGGCTCGACGTGCAGGAGAAGGAATGGGGTGGTCTTTAGTCAGTAAGAGTCTGACCCCATGGGAGACAGGCGTGAAGTTATGTATATATGAATCCTGTCATGTCTTGATTACACACTTGCATGCCATAATAAGAAATGTAAATGCAAGCGAAGTCGCCTTCATACAGTAGTTAGTGAAATACACATTTTAACACACCGTTTGTCAGTGGAACAAATAATCTTAGAAAGGACCTCATGCATGTTAAGCAAGCCACCATGACAATTACTCAGTTAGTTCATTAATTTTTGTTTCTATGGTATTTTAATGGCAACCTGTGGTGTGTTATGGGTTGCATTATTAGTTATATAAGCCTTTAGAAGTCAACTATTTGCTAATTCTCTTAAAAAAAAAATAACTAAGAGATAGAAAATATTCACATCTTAGTTAACTCGTCGAGTACCAGTTTTGTAAACACAATTATAGAACAATAGGTTGCGGTCACCGGTGACCGCTTGGTGTTTGACAGTTTAATTTCATTATGATTGCTAAATGAGCATAACTAAACCATGAATTAATTAATAAAATTAACAAACAGAACATAAGTTACCAAAAGGAAAGTACTGGATACTGTAAATTAACACATGGTAACATCAACCCTCCAGTAGAGCAATAAAATAAAATGTCTTAATACAATAAAGCATGTTAGGCTCGAACTTCCGATACTTTACTTACACATGGTAAATGTTTATTTTGTAATATGTAAAATATAATGTGACAAAAAAAATTAGGCACCTAAATGTTAAGAGGGATATTCAGTGATCGAAAAAAATTATTAAAAGTAAACGTATTTCATTACTTACCATCAAAGCAAGATGAATAAAGAGAAATTAATGATGGTTATTGACCCTCCATAAAATCAATGCTACGAGTGCTACGACTACGAGATCATACATTTTAAAATGGATCCCATCCATAGCAGTGGTGTTGGCATCCCTCTCTAAACAAAGGGCTGTCACAAACAGGGCTATAAATCAATAACTACTTACTTGGGGAGTTTCTGGTTCTGATGGGGAATAAGTCGACTGCGAAATATTGCTTGATGTAGACATTATAACCTTTTAGTCAGAGCAATAGACACTGCATTTTAAATAAACTACAATGAATATAGTCTATATGTCGAGAAATTGCAATATTTTCATTAATTTGCGAAAAATATGAAAACACCGACTCAATGATTATTTCTTTCTGTCATATTGTCAATGTGTGACAGCACCATAGGCAGGGTTACCAACTCCTAAAACCATTTACCCCTAACACCAAGATGAAATCTCCCTAAATTACCCTAAATGCAATATTTAATACCCCCAAAAAAGCCCCATATATTTTTTGTAACTATTCAAGGCTAAGCTACAATGATACTAGCGCCTTCAATTTTCATATTGATTGTGACGATCATGAATGTTAGTTAAAAAAGCACTTCTAAAGAATTTTTGTTTAGTAACAATGTTTATTTGTTACACATGTGACACGACCAATTTTCACAATTTTTAAGTATGTGACCATTTTTAGCAATTTATTATGGAAAATATATAATAATGTTCAAGTAAACATAGAAGTACTTTTTTTAAAACTCGTAGTCTCTACAGTCAATGAAAATCATGTGGCAGCGCTAGTTTACCCTAAGTGAGTTTTCCGATTAATTAAGGTAAATAAAACATAACTTTATGTATTTGAATATTTTTTTTATTTACTAACCATCGACATTATCAATTATTGTGAACAAATCACTCAAATCTTGACTTTCATTTGAATGATCGTTCTTGAAGTCATACATTTTGGGATTTCAAGGGAACAGTCACCGCGTTAACGTAACCACTTTTTTCTTGGTCTGTGGTAACCACCATAGATTTTTTTAATTTAGTTCTTCCATGGGCATAAAGTAGGACTATGATCAAAAGGCATTTCAGTGACATTGATAGGGGGCGTTGTTCGATCGAAAATTGTCAAAATTGCTGTCACTTGTATAGGAAACAGCATTAGTTCAGATTTTTGCCACCCACCAATTATGCGTTGGGCGATAACAGATAATGCATTATTTTATTCCGGAATACCATAGATATTTTGTTTTTTCGTTTTGGTCAGTTAATTACATTGTAGTCGTGATGCTAGAAATTATTTACGCCCCTAAAAAAAGTCCCCAAATTATTTAGGGCCCTAAAAAAGTCCCACTAAGCATAATTAGTCCCTAAATTTAGGGTTAAAAGCCCTAAGTTGGGAAGCCTGACCATAGGACACCATGGACAGCACTCAGCAAACATCATAAACCATAGACACAAATGGACAGAGAACAAAAGGTAAGCAATCTTCTCGGTCGTCTCACATTTTGACGAATAAAAATACAATAAGATAAACAAAATTAAGACTTCTGAAAAATATTTTTCCAAAATTAATAAATTAACACAATCAATAGAATAAATAGAAACAGAAATAAATTAAACGAATAAAACTCGAATGTACAACTGTTGGTGTCACTGTCAGAACTTGACAGTGACACTGTCATGTCATGGCAAAACGTCAAGTGCAGTCACTTCTGAGCAGGGTTGCCAATCTGTGGGGAATTCCCCAAACTGCGGGGAATTTCAAGTTGGTTGGGGATTTATTGTGGATTGGCATTATGTGGGGAAAATGTGGGGATTTTGACTTCATATTCTCATCGGAAAATGTTTCATCGTTTATTATCGATGACAACAGTTTTTGAATCATAAAGTATGAAGGCTGGAGAAAGTGTGGAAGATTTGAAAAAAGATGAAACTGTACCTCGTGCGGCTATTGTTTTGCATGAAAAACGCTGCGGGAGAATACCTGTTCTCAAACATAAAAATTGTTATTTCATTATTGCTGATATTGCCTTTATCAAATGCATCGAGTCGTCGAGAAGTCGAGCGCAAATTTAGTCTCCTTAAAAATTTAAAAACTGAAAATCGCAATAGATTGCAAGGGATTAAAAAACTGGACGACAGTGTCAAGTTTAACCCTTCGAACTAATATATGGAAAAAAATATAAAAGATAAAAACTAAATATTATTTAACTCATTGATTATAGTATCATTTTATAAAAAAAACTTTTGAGGGGAATTTGTGGGGAATCAGCGGATTTTTATCCCCAAATTTGGGGAATTCGATCAGGATTTTTGGGGATTTTGATGAATTAGCTTTGGCAACCCTGCTTCTGAGGTACAGTTTGGTATTTTTTTTTAATATTAATAAAATTAAAAGATACCCCTAATTAATAAAATTTCTGTATACAAATAGCGCCGATAATACAATGACTGCCAAAAAGATTGTATTTAACCAAGACAAGGACGATGACGAATGCGAATATTTAGGAACACAATGTTTTCAAATCAATCCCCATGTTGAAGAGAAAGAAATTCCAACGAACGGCGAAGAATACCTATTAAAAGTGATTAAGGAACGTGCGAAGTATGCTACAGTAACAAAGTGCGATTTAGACATATCAGAAATAAATAAGAAACGTTGCAATACTGTAAACGAGGTGAGTGGTTAGGGCTTTAGATTGTGAGTACTATTTGTTAAGATTCTTTTATTCACTCATGTGTTTTGTTTCTAGCATGAAAATCCTGTGCGGCCAGAACTATTAAAACCAACAATAGAATGGCAAAACATTCAAATTGCGGACTTTTCTGATCTTCACATGTATGTCATACGTATGGCTGCAAGAAAAAGATGTTTACTGCCTTCGATATTTGATGAGACATATAAAGACTTTTTGAATGATGGTGATATATTGTGGGACAAGGTTTTTGAAAGTACAGAGCCGACACTATCACATGTTGTTGGGTTAACACATAGTGCGGTTGAAAGTGGTTTGGATGCTATATTGTCAAATCTTCAAGAAGTACCACCAGGACAGTCTATTGATCGTAGAACAGGTAACAATAAGTTTTAAGGGTTTTTAAGTTGGTTTAAATGATCTTTGTGTTTACAGATTTTACCCGTAGCACTGCTCGGGTTTATGCCTGTTTTCATATTAGTTCAGTTATAATATTTATAGAAAATTTTAAAATGATTGATTGAGTAAAAACCCTGCCTTGCTATTAGTCAATGTTAATCTCCATCAAAGTCAAAGTCAAAGCATTTATTTCAATTAAACCATAGTTTGGTACTTTTGAAATGTCAACAAATACAAAATAAATAATAGTCTGTCAGTCAGTCCGTCAGTGAAGCTAGGTGAAGCTAGGTGCTCATTCCAAAACGTAGATTCGAATGGAGAAGAACGAGCAAGAAACTCCATTCGTTACTCTTTTAAAAAAGTATGTTCTACAATGTCTCTGATACATATTTCAATACTGTACGCATATGTAAGAACAATGCAAAGACACGCTTGACTCATTATACTACTAACTTACTAAAATAAAAATAATAAAGATCTTAAGTCCAACATGGTGCTCACATATGCATACTGACAATCCATAGAAATAGTGCTTCTATACAAGAAAAAGGAAATCATCATAACTTTTTATCATTACCACTTTCAGGATTATGGCTCCATGCATTGCTCACTGTCACAAGGCATCCACCACAGTCAGATGACAGCTTTCTGCTTAGAAATATTTGCAGAAGATGTGCTGAAATAAGGTAAACTGAAACTACAACACATGGTTAATAACTTTTCCTACTGTTTATTTATTAAGTTTATATTTCATTTATCTTTCACTCAGCCTCTTCCAATTAGCTGTTTTTATACATCTAAAGAACTTAATACTTACCTTTAAATTGAATATAAAGCCTAATACTAATTATTTGTATTTTTTTTATTTTAGGGCCAGTATTGACTTAAATGCGGAAAATGCAAAAGAACTGGCAACACCTTTGAATATTTTTATATGTATCATAGCAAAGTATTTTGGACAACATGACTTAGGTGACTATGAACTTGATGATTCCAAAGTAGCTCAAATTTATTATGACTCAAAAGTAGCACAGATATATTATTGACATAGATTTGAATGCTTCCTCCTTGTAAGTCAAAGAGAGAAGTAGTCTTTAATAAAAATGAGACTGATTGCCAATTTAAGACATAATCTATAGCAGGGGTTGCTAAATGGTTGATCGCGATTATCAACTATAAGTTCAGTTGATTGTGGCAAGGCAAAAAAATGTAAATTAACAGACCAGACTGTACAACGTAATTACAAACTACTACAGCATTATCTTGTGTAATTTTTCAATGTATATTTATGTATTAAACACATCAGTCTTATGTAACTGGTATAGAACAGGGTTTCGTTAGTAAAAAGTAGATAGTCTAATCAAGTTGGCCACCCTTGGGGATTTACTCTTGAATCCAATTCCAATTGATCAACATTAAATTAGTATTGTGAAATTTCGTACTCTTGAGCTGCAACACTAGCGCCCATTGCATCCGTATTGCGTGGATATTGATTGAACTAAATGGTACTGAGTTTAGCTTTATAGTCCGTACTCTGGTTGCTACTTTAACAACTACGATAGAGGTTGTATAGTTTTGACATTGAAATATTATTGAGATTTTATTGGATTAAAATTACATTGGCATTGCGATTGGTTTCAAGAGTAAGCACCCTGATCTAGTAAGTGAATACAACCATTTCAACCAATAAAAATTAGATTGATTACTCACACATTAGCATTGGAGTGAAGTAACTGGGTTGCTTAAAAATAAAATGTTAATTTATTATGTATGTAAAATTGTATAATTATACATCTATTTATGTATGAGTCTAAATACATTTGTGCCTATTTGTGTTCCCAAACCTGGGGCCACTACAGTTTCATCAAAATTGAATCTATTTGTCATACTATATGACTGAATTCGTTATTCGTTATTAAACTTTGTATTCGTTCTATTGTAAAGCAATAATTTGCATTAGAAATAGTTTTCTCTTCAATAAGTATTTGTCTTAGGTGTTACTTTTATTATTGAAATGTACATTTTTATGATATGAAAGCATTATATACAATGTTTTTAATGATTATATATATTTTTATTTCTTAATTATTACGTTTTCGGCTAAAAACACATAATTTATTGGCGAGGAACTCTATTAGCAAGTAAGCAAATAATAATTAATTCAGGATGTCTGACCAAAGTTTTAATATAAACATTTTTATGTCTATATAATGTACTGGTGATAGCTCCTCATTTGTTCTAAGAGCCGACTGAGGGAATACACATTTGACAGAGACCGAATGACAATACTCTTTAAAAGATCTGAACCAGAGGCAGATAAACGTAGAGAGCGCTCTAGGCAAGCACCTCACAGGCGTCGCTAACTTTTTTGCGCCGCTGCCACTCATTCTGCAGTTGGGCACGCACGGCGTGTAGCACCCTATGGTGACCTAGCGCCCTACGTACTTGCCTAGTCTGCCTTAGGGATAATACAGCTTTCTGGTGTGGGAGAGCCAGGCTTCGGCACGAATGGTCCGGCTCGACCGGAGTGATACCACGGCCACACAGAAAACCGTCGTAAAACTACGCTTGCGTTACGTTTCGTCATGTGAGTGAGGTAACTAGAGGCCCAATGATCCCTCCTCTTCCCCAATCTCTGAATCCCCAACGATCCTCAAACTCCTAATCCCCAAAAGGCCGGTAACACACTTGTAACGCCTCTTTGCGCCCTGTAGGTACTTTTATTGCATTGATTGTTAATTGTTTTTCTTTCATTAAATTTATGAAGTTTGTTAGAGAGATTTCATCCTTATTGACCCTAACAATCAATGCAATAAATGTACAGGGTGCAACTTTTACAGATTTTAGTCGACTTGATTACCGTGTGCGGCAAGCAAATTTGAAAAATCTTAAATGCAGATTTCTTTTTTCAAAAATACAGGAATGTTTTCTTTGAGCAAAATGTTCTATCTTAAGTATTAAGAGTACTTCCCCTTCAGCTTCAGGTGGCTTGACTTTTACTTTTACGTTGACTTTTAGTCAACCCCTTTAGTATTTAAAGATATTGAATACACAGAAAAGGTATTAAATGAAACTTACAAGAATATATTAATGATTATTATATTTAAACAATCAAATATTACAATTATAAATTTATGATATGTACCTATCTATAATAAAATAATAAGCCTTTTCAAACGATTAGAAAATGACATCTACATAATTATAATAATTGAATAACTAAGAAACAGAATTTATCACTCGTTAAAACGCGAGCGAATATCGGGAGTACATAATTTTGATGCAAGTATAATGTGTAAAACAAGATAAAAAAATAACAGTGTTTGCAATTTGGTTGAAAAAATATATACAATTTCTGAAAGTATTGTTACATCTACTTCAAATAAATACTATTTGTATACTCAAATTCGATAAATAAAGAGTTTCTGTTTAGCTAGAAGCGCTTAAAATCTCTAGACTAGTTTACCAAGGTAAACAAATTAGGTAAGTGAGACTTAATACGCCAGTGGCGCCAACTGGTGACTGCAAAAACAAAAACTCTTATACAGTCAACTGAAAGAAAAGTAAGAAATATTAATGATCTGATGTTACAAGGTACTGCATACATTTATCGAATCAAAGTCTACATAACGAGTATTTTTTCTGTATATAAAAATTGTCATAGTAGGTAATGTAAATAAAGTAATAAGCTACAGGTTATTTTATAATCTTGTTTTACATTTGAATATCGCAAATAATTCTAATAAACAAATACAATACATGCTTGTTTTATACCTACAAGTGTATAACAAAAAGAAATATGTAATGTAATCACTGGAAACATTTTGTGCCATATCTAAGTCTTAAGGTTATACAAAAAATAGATAGAAATATATTAAATAAGATTAATTCACAGAACATGCTGTAACGTAAAACGAATCATAATTGGATATTAACAAACGATGGCTCAGTCTAACAAGTTTTTAAGATACATTGTAAAAGGTGCTTGACATAGCTTAGTAAATACTTCTGCAAGTACTGTTATTTATTTATATTTCCTCATTTGTTCTTATCTATGTCAAATCCCTCTACAATTTCCCAATTCAAAGGGGTCTCAAAAATAATTTTAATAAAAAATAAACTATCACAGTAGACAGATCTTCAAGAGTGCACGTTTCTACTTTTAAAATAGTCGATTAAATTTTATTGCACGTTATTACAAATTCATCGATATCGATAGTACATACAATTTATTTTTTCTAAATCTATTGACCAAGAAATTGTTACTAAGTTTTTAAGATAAGTATAATATAAAGTAATATTTTTCGTAACCGTCTACGCCTAGATTTCTAGTTCTAAGTCTAGTGTATCTACATGATTCTCTTATCGAAATACATTTAAACGTAGGTAGGAAAATCTATTGATTCAGAAATACCTAATTTTATCTTTGGATTTCTCAGTAGGTATCCACTAGGTTTGAGCGTTGTTAAATTACAAGGAAAATACAGAGAAATTAAAGTCAGGTACAGAATTCATTTCGAACAGATTTAGCAAGAGTTGTTTGTTAAACTAAGTGAAAGCGTTTTATGTGCAACTACTAATAAATGGCACATTCAAAGATAGATAGAATACGATTGAAGAAGTGTAAGATACGGTTGGATGAGGCCCGTGACTCATTGATTTCATGATAGAGCACTATGCATCAATAAAGAACGATACAGAACATGATTAAATACGCGGCTTTTGACTCAAATAGGCTGTGCAATAAAACGTTTCATAAACCTCTTTTAAATATGATTGCTTTATAGCTATTTAATAGCAACTTAACATTATATTTTTGTAACAAGTAATAATTTTCAAATAACAGTGCTCTCATGCAGAAATTAAATAAACGAAATAAAATACGGCATGCAAAAGTTTCATGCATTCATGCTATGTACAGTAAGATCCTATGAAGTAGCTTCACTCGTCATCATTGAGTAGGTCTGTGCACGATTTGGCTTTGGTAGATCTGGAAAAGAAAGAAAACACATTGTTATACAGATATCCTGTAGGTAGATGTCCATCGGTAAAGGGCGTCCTAGACGGACATATAGGTATTTTTTTTTTTTTTTTTTTAAGGGGGGAAAATCATCGAATGACTGCTCCCGCCTGGGTGAGGCGGGACTCGGGAGGGAGTGTCAGACTCTTACTGACTAAAAACCACCCCGTTCCTTCTCCTGCACGTCGAGCCGGAGCCCCGGTTACCCGTTAGGTTCTCCGCGACTCCGAATCGGCATCGGCCCTATTGGGCCCCATCTGTGGTGGTCTGATGGCTCTTTGAGGCGCGCGCGGAACGCGACGGGGACATATAGGTATAGGTACTGACCAGATTAGCGATATATTAAAGAAGGGCCAAATTAAAAATACCCTTAACAGACGAGTATGCTTGAAAAGATTGATGACTGTTGATGAAGCGAAAGAGGTATGTAGGAATCGTAGTACCTAATTGGCGCTCCATAGTCTCTGCCTGCCCCATAGGAGATAGGCGTGAAGTTATGTATGTATATCCTGTAGGTAGGTATTAGGAAGAGTACTGGAATGTGTCAGGGCACGCATAAGAGAACTAAATCAAAGGATCTTAAGTCCTTGTAGATACGATGCCCAGCAGGACAACCTTTCATTTTCTGTCATATTTCTCTAAGGCATCTTCAACTTTATTATGGTGACGTGAAGTCGAAAATACAATATAATGAATAAATTTGACACATTACAGTGGGTTGATTTGCTGGCCACTGTACCCTTCATACATGCTACCTTTTTTCTTATGCACGTTATTCGTCCTATATAAAGTATAAGAAATTCTGTTTCCAATTCACCATTCTATTAGTAAGATATTTTTGTTATAGACAATCAAAAACCAAATTAGTGCTAACTTTTAAGGACCTAGAAATCGACACCACGGTCGAACCAAAGGTCAAAATTTGGAATTTCTCCTTACACGACCATTGATTTGACTTAGTTCATTTATCACAAAGATACGTTAATCTATGCAACTTACTGTGAATTTTTAACTCGTCTGCAAACCCTAAGTTCAATGGGTCCACTGCGCACCGACTTGAAGAGCGCAAGCGCTTCTACATGCGCCAGTTCATGACATGCTTGTCCATTCACCGCTAGTACCTCGTCTCCTGTAATAAACGAATAAGTTTGTAGATAATATTCTTATTTTTATGATCTTTCCCCAATAGGAAAGATATTTGAAACTAATGTTTAAGGACTTGTCTAGCGAGACATTGGTGTTATCAATACATAGTATAAAACAAAGTCGCTTTCGCTGTATGTCCGTATGTATGCTTACATCTTTAAAACTACGCAACGGATTTTGATGCGGTTTTTTTAATAGATAGAGTGATTCTTAACCCGTGCGAAGCCGGGGCGGGTCGCTAGTATTTAATATGCGTAAGTCCCGCTCTATGTTCTTATGGGGTCTTTTCCTCAAACAAAATAATGTAACATAACATTTGACCTTTTATTAAAGGCGTTTGGTTTTATGTTCGAAATATGTAAATAAAATGTTCCTACATATCGACCACAGAAAGGAAAAACCTGCAGGTAAACGTTTAATAAAAGGGGAAAAGTGGAAGCAGGTAGCTTGTCACAGGGATTTACAGTGCTGTCCGATTCGTGTAACTACCATACCATACCTGTTTTTACCGCAAAGCAATGTTCTAGATGATTATTGTTACGTTTTAAACTAATGCCCGTTTCATTAAATGCGTTATTAAGCGGTATTATAGATTTTCTTCGGGGGTACCTCAATTAACTATAGAGCAAAAGTTTGCGATATATTTTTCTATTTGTAGACTAACTGCTAGTTCTAAATAATCCATTTATCTAGGTATCTATCTAGCTGCCACTAGCCTGCAGGTGACCGATAAGCTCTGATAAATTTATTGACTGTCCTAGTACTTAGGTACTAATTTTCTTTAAATTTTTATTTAAGTAATTTATCTGGTTGATAGTGGTTATCTAGAGAATGTGAAACCGGCCGTAAGGTGTGTAGGCAGGCACTTACTTAAAATTCTAAACTGTTTTTGTATGG